TCTCTCTCTCTCTCTCTCTCTCTCTCTCTCACACACACACACACACACACACACACACACAGGCACACACACACACAGGACCAAACTCATGCTGACGCGGCCGCGGTTAGCTTCATAGTGCTGTGCTTTAACCCACTGTGCCACCAGGGAGGGCCCATTCCCTTCCTTTCTACCCCCGTTTTCTTCCAATGGCTTTGTTTTTTAGACTTGGAAGCAGTGGGTCTCCAGCTAAAACCAGTTCTGATTTTCTTCATCCAGCTAATGTACAAGCCTTCAGAAACTATTGTGAAGTTGGTAATCAGTGGGCATTATTGCCTTCTCATGTTTTCACTTGCCACTTAATGGAGCAGTTCAGGGGCCCCTCTGTTTTTCATGTGTTCCTCTAAAGTGCTGGTTGACCTCTGGGGAATACACCAGTGGATGTAGTCATCAGTGGAGCGGGGGAGATAAAGAGCAACTCAAGTCATGGCAGAGCTGGTGTCCATAAGCTGATGCCTGGAATCGTCTCCCATAGCAACACACATACCAGTCAGCCCTATACTTGTTGAGGGGCCTCTAATGCAGCCTCTTTGACAGAAGACTTGAATGTACCCATGGCTGAGGAGGCTGCCTCCTAGGTGTGCTGTCCACTGTGGGGCCATCCCAGCTGTCCAGATGCTTCTCCTTCCATTAACTAGAATTTCTAATGTTCACACTCTGGTCCTCATCTGGTACTACTGACACAAGATAGCAGATCTGCTTCCTCTTCTGTAAATTAGAAGCCTTTTAGATATGTGTAAGCAAGCAGCAGACTTGAAAGGATGCTGAGGTATATGCAGGTAATTTGCACACAGTTTGAACAAGACAATCAGTAAGCCTCTTCAACTTCATGGAACATAATTTCTATCACTTGGCATTATTCAGATCTCATCTCTAAAATGAGGCTTCTGGGGCTTCCCTGGGGGGCCTAGGGGATCAGCCTCAGCGCTATCACTGCTGTGGGCTGAGTTCAACCCCCAGCCAGGGAGCTGACCCACATGGCACAGCAGACCTCTCCTGTCCCGCCCGCTGCTCCCCTCAGCAGTGTATTTCAGTAGATCCACCTGTTCTGCTCCCCACTCTGTCTCTGGTGAATCCTCTTAGCCCCCAATACCTCTGGCCTACAACCCAGTTCTTCTATGCAAAAATTTAAAAAATAAATGAGGTCTCCAAAATGATACACAATGTTCTGACCCTAATTCTGGCTGTTTAATACTATTGTTATTTCTCAGAGTTGTAAGAAAACCTGAGAAACACCACTAAAACCTAATGAAAACCACTTATATTTGTAAGGTATCCTATAATGTACTTAGTTGATCTTTATGACAGCCCTGTAAGATTTACCAGATACCAGGAAGCTACATCTGTGGATGAATATGAGCTCCCAGAAGGAGTTGGGTTAACCAGCCACCCCCTCTCTTCCAGCACAACATGCCCTTCTGGAGGATCACAAACCATGGAGACCTGGTGTCCCTCCACCAGGCGTTAGAGCTTGATTTTCTCTAAAAACTGGAATGAAGAGCCTCCCCCGAGCGCCTTTCCCTCCTGAAAGGAGCTAAAGACCGGAACCAACTGGGAACACACTCTCTCTCCTCCCCCACCCCCTTTTTCCTTTCCTTCTCCATGGAATGCCGGCGAGAACACAATCAGAACCAACGTCTGTGAGGAACGGAAGCTTATTTTACTGAGTAAGCTGCAGCCCGTGTTCATCCTCACAGGAAAATAGGAGGCAGTTGGATTGAGAGAACAGCCTCACCACAGCCACAGTGCTTTTAATTCCTCTGTTACTTTTTATTTGTTATATTTTGTTTCACAAAATGAAGAAAAAGAAAACCCTTGGGGCAGAGTTGCACTCTTAGTCCATGACCAGACTGCTCTTAACTTGTGGTAGGATAAATGCGGCAGACTTTTATAAGAACATCTCTGGCAGTCTTTATAATCTCCTTAGCGATAGAACATATTCCCAGTGAATGTATGTGTTATTTTTATAGGTGAGGATCTGATCTCTGAAGCAAGTCCCCCACCCCTTTCTTTTCTAACAAAAAGGGTGTGTAAAGTTTCCTTGGAAAATAGTCATTGAAATATCGAAAATACCTCTCTGTGATGGTAGCGCCTCTTAGCTGCTCCAGGATCTGATCTAGATGGTTTCTTGCCTGTTCTTCCAGCTCCTGGTCTGCTGAACTATGGGGCACTGGACACTGAATACCATTAGACTTTTGATGTTTCCCCTCCTGGAAGCCTTAGGTTCCTCTTCCAGTCACTCCTCCCTTTAACCAGATAGCACGGCTGCAGAAGCACCTCCTCTAGGCAGGAAAGTGTGTCTTCAGCTTAAATCTCTCATTCGAAGACAGTGACCGTAGAGATTCCTCCACACTGCAGAGAAGGGACTAAGGCTTCCTGACTCTTGAAATAGGAAGATTCCACCTTTTCCTCCTGCAGAGAAGCGCCCTTCCCCAGTAGACACTCGCCCTACAACAGTCTCTTCCTCCTGAGTCAGCAGTGTGTGGCTCTTACCCTTCTCCTATCTTCAGTCCTTCAGATCCACCTCTGTGCCGTCTGGCCAGTCCCTGGGCCTGGGCCCAGGCCCACTGAGTCAGGTCTAAGGACATACTCTGCATTTTGACCAAAACTACTAATGTACTTGGCTTTCCTGAAAGCCCTCAAGCCCTCTGATGGGTATTCTGGACATACATTTACTCCCATCTCTGCCCGTGGCTAAAGAGCAGATTGCCATGATCAAAACCTAGTTTTCCTGTGGAATACCCTTCCTGCTTCCTCCTCAGATTCCATTCTGAAATGGGAAAGCAGAAGGCCAGAAAGTCTTTCACTAATTTCAGTGAGGGTGCTGGACCCCCTCCTCTCTTCCAAAAGGTTAACCCTGTGAGGCAGGGACATCTCAGCCTGATCTCTGGGAAGTTTAGTGGGTGCCAGGCATGAGTCCCAGACCTCCGTCCCAACTGTTTGTGGATGCTCTGTCCCTCCACGGCCAACCTGGGCATCTGTTCAGGCAGGATAGATGCCCTAGAGCGGAGGAAGTTCTGGTTGCAGGGAGGAGACTGTGTAGGCACCTCAGCGAGCTGGGGCCCCAGCGGGAGATGTCCTTATCCAGGCCAGCTCTACCAGCAGTTAGAGTTCCCTGGCTCCCCATCTCCCTCTCCAGAAATACTGCAGCACAAAGAGGTGAGCCTCCTTCCGATGCCAGCACCCAGATGGCAGTAGCGGAGAGAGGCTGGCTCTATTCCTTCAGGGCTGGTTGAGAAAGTGGCCATCACGGTTGTAGGATATAGGCCTTTAGAGAGGAGTTACGGTCAGTGTTCATCATCTACCTGCCTCTTTGGTCTCCTTTCCTTCATGTGGTCAAGGCTGGGGAGTTGGGCAGGCTGAGGTTGAACTTCCCTGGTCTGTGCCGCAGATGCTGCGCTGCCTCACTTGATAGTTGGTCTCAGAAAGCTGTAGGATGGGGCTTTCCTTCCAGGCGAGTGCTGCCCATGCTGGCGGGGTAACTGGTGTCTTGTCCTGGACGTGAGCCCCAGGTTGGTGCAAGCTCTGGGCTCTGGAGTGGTACCCCATCATGCACATATGGCCCCGCCCCGCCCTTCCCTTGGGAAGAAGCTTTCGATTCATCCTAGAATATGACTTGAACCCCTTTTCAATGCCACTTTAGGTCTTTGCGAAAGGAACTTGAAATTATCCAAAAATTGAAGCTCTCATAACAGCACCCTTTGTTCTTTCCTGGTTGTACCCCCTCAATAGAGGGCAAGCAGAAAATGGGGTTCTTGCACCCCCTCTGCCAAAATGAATTGTTCTGGGACGCAGTGCTCTTTCACCCTGTGCTTTCTTCCTCCCCAGCACAAAGATCTGGAAAGGGAGATGGAAGCACAGAGCTCTTGGGAGCTGAGGGCCAAGGATACTGTGGTCCTTCTCAAGGGGGAAGCCCTTCTCACTGGAAAAGTCTCCCCAGCGAGTGGGCCACATGGGGAGGCCTTTCTTCTAGCCGGGCTTTGTAAGGTGGAGCTGTACACAGGTGAGGACTCGCTAGCTGGGGGTCAGGAGTTGTCAGTGTGTCCTGGGAAGAGGCGGCTCGACTTCCGAATGTAAAACTGACTGTGCCTTAGCATCACCCTGTCCAGGGGCTCTGGGGCAGCTGGTGGTGTCCAGGAGATGGGGGACCTGTTCCAGACTTAGATGCCTGTTTGGGCTTTTATTTGGATTGGGGTGTTCCTGTCTTCTGCTCTGCAAGTTGGGGGTGGAGAGGGCGAGGTTAGTGTCCCAAGAGACTTGTGCCACAGCTTGTTCGCAGTTTACAGAAACTCAGCTTTAAAGCTTCTTTAGCAAACTCCAGTTGCAGCACGTGGAGCTTCTATATGTTGGCTACCTTGAGAGGGTGCCGTGCCACTGAAGCGGGCACGGAGAGCACGGGCAGAGCCATGTCCTCCCTCTCCTGGCAATGTGGTCTGTGCCGAGGGTGGGGAGCTTGGGGCTTCTTTCATTGCTCCTGCAGAAGGGAGTTGTTAGGGCTCCTCTTACCGGGGCTTCTATTTCTCATCACTAATTTGGTTTCTTTTCACACCCAAAAGTTGGAACTCCCCAGATTTCACACTCTAGGAGCCAAATCTGAGATTCGAAAATATCTGAAGCCACAAGAGAAAATCTAGTTCTGTTCTGTCCCCACCAGCATGCCTCTGCCCCTCCTGCCTGAGTTAGACAGCCCCAGCAAGCAGGTTCCTCGGCTAGTCCCGAACGCACTGACAGGAGCCATCCATCAAGGACGACTTCTGCTCAAAACGTGACCCTCGATGTCAATGCCTCGCTTAGCCGGACAAGGCATGAACTGGATTGGATATATTTATGTGACTGCGGGCATTCATGGCTGTAGAATCCTTGACCATGATGTTATCTGTAACGGGAACTATCTTATAAACTTGAAAAAATAAAGTTTTTATTTTCTATACAGTGTGCTCATGTCTTTTCTAAATAGGATTGGCCAGTTGCCCAGCTGAGTAGTGTCTGAGTCAGGCTTCTTACAAAATCTGAAGAGCTCATTAGAAAGATGGATAACTGAGATAGTAATTTTACCAGAAAGGTTTTAAACAACCATTAATGAAATGAATGTACATGAAAAAATTTTTTAATGATTTGCAAGGGTAAGTTTCTTGTTTCTAATATGTATTTTTAAAAGTTTAAGACTACAATAATATTTCATATACCATCACATGGCTGAAATTTATTAAATCAGTTCCTTACTGTGCTGAGCTTAAATACCAAACCTTGTCTGACTGGTGGAAACAGATGTCTTTGCCTTGTGCACAGGAGACTGGGGTCAGTTCTGACTTGCACAGACCTTACATGGCAAGATTGTGAGATGTATTTTTCCCCAAAATAATGTCTTCAGAAGAGGGGGTGATGCCTTGTATTCTAAGCGTTTAATCTTTTCATCAGGTGGTGCATATTTCAAGCCATACTAAGGGAAGCTAATTTGCTCATTAAATTTCATCAATCGTGGGCCCTCCTGGTGGCGCAACGGGTTAGGACTCAGCACTGCAAGATAGCCGCAGCCACTTCAGTGCAAGTTCAATCCCCTGCCCCAGAGGTGACCCACATGGTGCAGCAGACCTCTCCAGTCCACCCACTGCTCCCCTCAGCAGTGGGTACTTTCTCCATCCACCTGCTCTGCTCTCTACCCTGTCTCTGGTGAAGTCTCTCATTGCCCCTGCACCTCTGTCTTGTACACCAGCTCTGTCTGAATAAATAAATCTTTTTAAAAATACAATTTCATTGATCATAAGTGCAAACGCTTGAATAACGGCTTTTCCAGTAAATATCATCCCCTTACCACTGAGTATAGCAGCTGCCCCCTTCTCATCCTTCAGTGTTTTTATTCTCAAAAAATGTGACATTTTAAAAGGTATTGATAGAAAACTTCAAAGGTCATTTCTAATTGCTAATAACCTCTTGTCTTCAAAATTGATTTGTAAAACTATAATAATATGAATATTATATATAACAAATGAAATGACAAACTTAGTTTATGTGATACACTATGTACATTGCTTAGATTTAATTACATCCATGTGACTTATTTGATAATTTCATCTAGAGTAGAGATGAAAGCTTTCCCTGTGGCACTTAACATTGTCAGACACACTCATTCCCTGTGGCACTTAACACTGTCAGACACACTCTTCCTGTTTATTGGGTCTTCACTAGAGTGAACAAGCTAAAAACAAGGCTGCGCCCTAGTTCCCATCACAGTGCCTGAAGCCTTCCTCCGGCACCCCTTGCTTTTTCTCTCCAAGCCAGACCTCCCAGTCCCATAGTCCGCATCCCCTAAGCCACGTCATACCATTTACTTCCCCGTTCTCTCTCTCTCTCTCACACACACACACACAGGACCTCTTCACACAGGTTCTTGTGTTCATGGTGCTAAGAAAAAGTGCTTGTGGCGTTCCTGCCTGGTTGTGCAGAGAGCTGGTTAAAAACGTACACACTGGCATCAGCCCAGATCTGGGTTCTGATGCCCACTTGATAACCCCACATTAGTGCACCCGTTTCTCAAACTCCCAAGCAAGATTAAGAGGTGCTGCCTAAGGTGGTGTTCCCCCTGGTCGCAGGGCCTTTACCGCGCTGCAGGGGAGGGCTGTCCCTGACCCCTCAGGCGGCTTTGAATGCCGTAGATTTAAAGACGTGACTAAGTTGGAGCACTCATGAGGTTTTAATAATAACCTAGTAATACTGTTAAACAAAACACTTGCAGAGACACGTGCACACACCTCTTCCTCTCATAGACTGAGGTAGAAAGTACATGGTCCAGAGGACAGAAACACCAATAGGCTGAGCCATGGCCCTGACCACAGGTTCACAAGGCACTTGGTTGACAGAGGCCCCTCAAGTACAAGAGCTGGGCTGGACCAGCTTCACTAAGGCCGAGGAGGGGCTGGGAGGGGCCAGCCGATTGGGCATCCCTGGCTTCCAGTCTGAGTGCCTGGAGGACCTGGAGAGAAGGAATGGTACAAGGGTGTCCACTGATCCTTGCAGGTTCCAAACATGGAATGATGTTCTTGGCACAGAACACAGTAAACACGTTGAATGAACTGAACGACTGGGGGCGGGGCAGGGAGGGATTCCAGAGAACACATCCTGGAGTCCCAGGGCCTTCTAGCCCCAGGGAGGGGAACCCAGGAGTCTGACGCCACCTTTAGCAATTAATGTTACAGGTGACTGGGGAGGTATAAGTATCAACACAGATGCTTTGGAACACCAGCTACACTGGCAGGCATGGGGTTAAGGGAAGAAAGGTCTTTCCTCTCAAAGTGTCTTGTACATTACGAGAGCCCTTGACTCTCTGCGGCTCAGCCCTTCTCATCTGGCTCCCATTCTCCAGGCAGGCCTGTCTCACTCCACTCTGGCCTCCAGAGGCTGCACACAGCAAGCCACAGGTGCCTGTTGAGAGAACCAAGGCCCATAGCAGCATAATTAGCTTATCTTCTGCATCCTAGCAACTGACTCATCAGTCCACTGGTCCCTGGCTGGGGTTGACCCTCCTCAAAGGACCCCATTCATGTCTCTGTCCCATGGCAAAGCAGCCTCAGCCCTAGCCTTGGGGAAAAAGTTCTGAGCCAATTTAGTCATGCGCTTGTTCTGAGGCAGCTGACGCAACTGTTGGGAGCGGGAACCCAGGGTCCCGTCCACTTGGTCAGGCTCCCAGCGGGAGCTGGGGTGTAGCCAACGATAGTAGACAACCCGCAAAACCAGACCCAGAAAGAAGCAGGCCATGCCCATGGGCAGCAAGATCTGCAGCAGGCTCCCGCTGGGCAGCCAGGTGCCATGCATCAGCCAGGTGACCACAATGAGAACGGTGTCACCCAGGAGGAAAACCAGGTGGATGGCGGCTCGGCCTCGGGTGCGGCCGTCCGCCACATTGAACCAGGAGAAATACAGGATGGTGGCCACGGTAGCCCGGTACAGCCACTCAGAGCAGGAGCCTGGCATGAAGTCTGTGCCCTGAAGCCAGACCCAGAACAGCAGCACCAGCCACAGGCCCACGAAGTGCAGGGCCACATAGCGGGGGAAGAGGGCTGAGAACAGGGCCACCACCAGGACGCGGGGCCACAACAGCAGCAGGTTCCACAGGAAGTAGATCACGGAGGAGCCCGGGCCCAGGAGGGGCTTGGTGGGGAGGCAGGTGCGCAGGGCTCGGTGGTAATCCAGCAGTGCCCACGAGATGCCCAGGAAGGACACGCCAATGGCGACCCCTACGAACAGAGAAGCCAGGTGAGACCCAGGGCTGTCTACCCAGTGGTTCCAGGGGGCCCTCATAACTGTGAGGGTGTCAGAACCCCCAACTTGTTGAAGGGAAAACTGCAGCTGAACAGCATAAAAGATGCGACAGTCTACCCTTCACTGAGCTTTGCTTTCCAGGTGCTGCCACGGTGATTTTTCAAGGATCACAGGGTGGGTGTGTGGTTTGTATACTTTCCTCAGCAGCCCCAGCATTGGCCACACCCTGAGCATCTTCCAGAGCCCTGTCATACTTCCTTTCCAGAAAGACTCAAGCCTTTCTTGGGTTTGAAAATCAGCTGTCCCATTTCCCCCTTTTCTGGTCTCAGAAAGAGAAGCAGGAAGTCCCGGGGGTGGCATTAGGCCTCTGGCTACCTTTGGGGCCAGACAGGATGTTCCCCACACCCTCAAGGCTGAGACTGGGCCCGCAAGATCCCAAGACCATAACTTTACAGTGGGCATCCCATCCATCTCCTGGTTACTCGCCTGGACCAGCACCCAGGGCCTACAGCAGGGATAGGTGTGTCTACACACTGCTTTTTCCCCCCACCCCCTTCCCACTGATTCAGTCCACACAGGTTGCTTGGGGACCCACCCCAAACTGGAATCAGAGGGTGGCCACCATGCTCTCTGAGTACCCCACTCTGAGATTCTTTTAGTTTGCCCAGCATGCCCCTTTTTTGGTCTCAGAAAGGGAAGCAGGAAATCCTGGGGGTGGCATCAGGCCTGTGGCTGCCCTCGCCTTGACAAGCTTTGCACATCATGTTGGGACGCCCAGGAGCACAGGCCCCACTTCCCTAGCCACCCCTCCTCCCTGCAGGTCCCAGCTTAAATATCCCCTGTAGTCCCCCATTCGGACCTCACCTCACCACCACACTGTGCTGACTGTCCTGGGTCACCCCACCCACTTCTGTCAGGAGTCTTCCCACACTGGAGTTACCTGTTTCCTCGTCTCCAAGCTCCTTCAAGTTAGCAAACAGATTCTGCTCCCCTGAGGTCACCAGGCAGGCCAGTATCTAGCATGTAATAGCCACTGAATGTTTGCCAAGTAAAAAGCAGGAGAAATCTGTTTCTTCCCTCACACCCTCCACACATTGGGAGGCCTCTCTTAGCCCTGAGTGGGCACATCCACTATCGAATGTCAAACAGCTCTTCCCAGCCCCTGCCTGCAAAGTCACTTCACTTTTCGGTATCTGTTTCTTCCTCAAATGAAACAGAGACAAACACACAGACCCACAGGGCTGCAGTGCCCAGCCAACAGCAGCCCCTCAGTCATGTTGTTCCGACTACTGGTCTTGTCCAGCTAACATTACAGACCCAGATTAGCAAGTCAAAAGGCTGCTAGGGGCTCCTTTTGTCCCCACTTTGTACAACGGCAGGGGGCTAGACAAGGGAAGACTTACCGGGTCACCCAGGGAGAAGTGGCAGAGTGGGGACTGTCCCTGGGAGGCCTTGAGGGCAGGGGTGAGGAAGGAGACCTCCAGTGGGTCCTGAGTCAGAGCCGCAGTGTGGCTACGAGCTGGGTCTGAGACTGGCCAAGCTTCCTCCCTGTTACAGGAGAAAACCTCCTCCCCCAAGCTCCTCATGGCACAAGCGTCTCCCCTGGCTCATGAAGCATGTGCCTCTCCATTTCCAGGTTACTCAGCGCACCTTCTGAAACTACCTGTTTTGCAGCCTAGCTAGCGTCCCGGCGGGGCAGGGCCGTGACCTAGTTCACAGCAGAGTGCCCGGCACGGACCAGGCACCAGGTGCTCGGTGAAACCTGAGTGTGGCTAAGTGCCCGGTAAATCACTCGCTGCCATCAAACTGCCTGTCAGTGTCAGGCACTCTCCACGCTTCACCTGTTACCCCCAAACTAGTAACGCTCACAGAGAGTGAACCGCAGGCACAGCTTTACAGGCACCCTCTCATTCCTCCTTCCCCACTGTGAGTAGGATCGTTCTCTCATCTATTTACAATGAAAGCAAACTGCCATTTGTCCAAACTCATGTGGCTGGACAGTGACTTCAGATTTGAACCCAAGTCTGCCTGGCTAAAAAATCTATATTCTGGCCCTCCCTGGTGGCGCAGCGGGTTAAAGCACAGCACTAAGAAGCTTAAGTCACTTCCGCATGAGTTTGATCCCCGCCTGCCCCGGAGGTGACCACATGGCGTGGCAGACCTCTCCTGACCCGCCCCCTGCTCCCCTCAGCAGTGTACTTTGCCGATCTGCCTGTTCTGCTCCCCACTCTGTCCCTGGTGAATCCTCTCACCCTCCGCATCTCTGGCCTGTACCCCAGTTCTGTATAAATAAATAAATAAATCTTAAAAAATAAAATCTTTTATGTTCTAAGCAGCCCTGGGAAAAGAGTGGAAACACTCCTGACAAGGGGGCGTTTTCCTCAGTCATGGGCTGGCCCGTCACTCACACTGGTAGTATTCGGCCCGGCCACTCTGCAGCACGATGGCCAGCACCAGCGTGAGCTGTGGCGTCGTCTCCAGGAACGTCTCAAAGAGCCGCAGCATGCTGATGTCCAGGGCGAGGAAGTCGGCGTAGGCCAGGTCGAACTCGGAGGGCACCTCCTGCCGCCACACCAGCAGCCCCTGCCGCAGCCCCTGCAGGCACCTAGGTACAGACAGATGCCCCGCGGGCCAGGTGAGTGTCTCCTGGCATTCCTCTTGCCCTTCCTAGGTGGGCGCCGGTCCTAGCTGGTTGCTAACACGCGTGGGGTTTGGGGAAGTGACTCAGCAAGGCGACTGCAGCTCCTGCAGGCGGACCCTGTCCCAAGCTCATGACAAACCTTGTCCCTCTGGCTCCTGGTATTTCCTCTATGGGTAAGAAGTAGAAGCAAAGATCAATAAGGCAGTGGAATCAGGTTTGGGAGCCAAGGCTGTTTGAATTTGAAAGCATGCTATGAAATTGCCAGAGATGACAGTTCTCACAATGTAGCATGTATAAGGCTTTCTTGGGGTCTTGGGGAGAGCTTCTGAGCATGGGCAGCAAAGGTCAGGTTGGGCTTTAGGAAGCGAGAAAGGGTAGGAGCCTGGAGTGTTCTGATGGAGACTGGGGCATGTTAACAGAAGTAAGAGATTGCCCGGATGACCCACTGGCCCGAGGTGGGTAACAGAGCTGCACTAAGTTCTCGTCTCAGCTAGCTGCTGGGAACTGAGCCCATCCACTCACTAGGAACCCATTCGCCAGATGTTTACTGTCATTTGCCCTGAACAGAATAGGCAGCTCACTGAAGGAGCAGGCGGTGGGCCTGCTCAATTACCCAATGGGCGACCCTGCCTCAGACTAGTCACAATCAGAATAGAGACCCCGTTTTCTAAACGGAAGCCCAGTGCCATCTGTCTGACTCATGCGTGACAGAAGAGATGGGAGGATGCGTGATCTTCTGCAACCTTTAAAACTCCCCACTCCTGGAGACTTGATCCAGCTTTGTCGAGACAAGACACAGAGAATCTATAAAAATGGACTCAAGAGCAGATCCTGGCTCTCCTCACCCACGGCACACCAGAGCACAGACATCCTGACCGGTCTGTCGGCCCCTTGGTTCCAGCGCCCTGCCAGGGAAGGAACAGAACACAACCCACACAGATTTCTGGGACCAGCCCTGCGCGCATCCCTGGCTGGCTCTCAGGCCCCATCTCTGGTCTCTTGTTCCATCTCTTGTTCCACGAGGGACAAGAGGGTGGGGGGCTGGATGTAAATATGCAGTGAGAACACTGGCAGGAAATGAGGAAGTGCTGGCAAGAGGTCGCTCTGCTCTGGGGGTCGCTCACCTTGGACAGGGGCCATCCCAGGTCTCATTTCATTTACTCCTCACCACACAGAGCAGGCAGGCCCAGCTCTCCCACTGGCACAACTGTCAAGTGGCACACACTGCGCCAGGCCCCTGCCCACTTTCCCTCTCTTCACAACAGGACAGCCTGCCAGGCCTATTCTAAGTTACTGCCTCCTTAACAGAGCAGGAAACTGAGGCCAGAGGCCCTAAAGTCAGGAGTGATCCCAGAGAGGGCTGCACGGGGGCAAGAGTCACTTTCCTCTCTGGGCCTCCGTTTGCCCTCCGCTGGGAAGGCAGGGCTGGGTGAGTTCTGAGGGTTGCAGGTCTCTTTCCTTTAGGGCGGGGGCCTGCGGCAGAGGCGGCGGTGAGCACTGGGCTCAACTTCCTCTCTAGACCCCAGTCCTCCTCCCAAGCCAGACCGCGGCTGCGGCGGCGGCGGCGGGGGCGGCGGCGGCGGGGCGCTCACCTGTACAGGTAGCCCAACTGAAGGAGATGCAGCAGCGCCAGCCAACGGCCGGAGGGCTGCGACGCGTGCAGGCCGTCGGGGTCGGCGCGCAGCCAGACCCAGCTGAAGAGCTGAAGCACCACGGAGGAGAGGCCCAGCAGTGCCAGCACCAGTGCGCCCCACAAGTAGCGGCCGCTGAGCACATACTGGCTGGCAGCCCACAGGTCGACACCCAGGTCGATCAGGAAGGCGGCGGTGCCCAAGACGCCCAGGACCAAGTCCCAAAGGAGCGCAGCGCGGGGCGAACAGGGCATGACCCGCCAGCCTCTTCCCCGCCTTCTCTGTGGCCGGGACCGGGCCTGGGGTGGTCGCTGCGGTAGGAAGAAGGCGGGCACAGCCCTCGGGGCCGCCCAGGGACCGGGCCTGCTGGGCGGGACTTCCCCGTCCCGGTGACCGTCCCGCCCCGTCCGGGGAGGAGCGCGGCCGCGGGACTCCGCCGCTGGCGTCCTGGGTCTCCCGCGGGGCGCTTTAGCCTCCCCAAGCCCGCTTGGCCCTCGGGCCCTGGAGCGCGCAG